AAATTGTATAAAAAAAAAGCTTTAGAGAATGGCGCCTCAGAAACGACCTGAATGTCTTGTTTGCACATATTTTTATCTTTCTACTACTGTCTACAAAAGCTAGATACCTAACTCAACATTTACACACCTCAATAAAAGTATAATCAAATCTAAAACCCTACAGAACAGTCTCCAACTATATTTACAGATTAGAGACATGTACGGAGCCCCAAATTGCTCGAGTTTGGGTTCCGTGGGCAATAAAGCACGCATTACGCGGGTTCGTATCCCGGCCGGGAAGGGACACGGATTAGGGGAAGATTGGTTTTGGGATGCTCTTTTTTTAAGGTTACATAATATTGTTTCACGGACATGTTTCGATTTTTAATAAACGCACCTAAGATCTATCAGTTTTATATTTATCACTCGTTCTCACCCGTGACTTTGTCCAGGTTTTATTGATTGTTCATCTCCATTTCAAACATTATAAAACGTGATTAAATAAACTCATTATACAGCGGGTCTACCATGAAATGAAATTCCTAAATTTCGGTCTCAATTTCGTGTTTTTGTTTATACCAAAATCGGACCAATAAATGGAGTTTAACATTTCGTTTGTCATACATCTTATCATAAAAGTCCAAAGAAATAATATTTTTACATTTTTAATATTTCCAAATGACATATGTAATTTTAATATCAAATTTGTGTTTCGTTTGGCTCCGAAATTTCGGAAAACATTTCATGGTAGGGCCTCTGATCCTGCGTTTTTTCCATTAATATGGACAAAGGCCACAAATCAAGTTTTAAATAAATTATAAATACTTTAAAACTTTAAAGAGAGAAACATTCTATACAAAAACAGTTGTAAAAATTGGGATATATCCTACTTTCACGGAGTGGGATTAGCGAACCTTATTGTGTTTTGAAAACGCAAACGTTAAAGTAGTCAGGTAACTTAATTTTAAAATAAGACTTTTATTATTTTATTTATTGCATTCAGAAATACAGTAGTAACAGGAAATCGTTGGAAATAATATAACTTCAACGAAATCTTAATGTGTATCAAGTAACACAGACCTTGATCAAATTAAATCGATTATTGAAAATCTAAGGATGATATATTTCATAATAGCCATTCAATATCGTGATACAACAAATCAAACGTAAATGTGTATAATTTCCAATATTCTATTAAATTATCGTTTAGGTGAATCGGTTCAGACGGTCTTAAAATTATTAATAATTCAGCAAAGAAAACTTATATATATAATACATACATGAACTAAGTGACCACTTTCTTACTGTATCGAATGGTATTTTAAATTCTATGAAATGTTTAGGGATTAAGAAGGGACGATACGCTCTTTTGTTGTGTTAAATGTAGTGAATTCGGGGATACGAAATGTTTTTTTTTTATACAACTTAGAATGGCAAACAAGCTGACGGCCCACCTGATGGAAAGTGGTAACCGTCGCCTGCAGACATGAGCAGTACCATGGACATAACAGAGTATACTGTTTCGCCCATGATACCCCCCATGCGTTGCCATTCCTGAGGACCAGGAATGGCAACGCAGTGTTATTCCTCTGTACCCTGTAAATTCACGCCATATCCCACCCTTCAAACCGAAACACAGCCATGCAAACACAACTGCTTCACGGTTGAAACACGAATGAGGCAGAGGTACCCAAGCAATCGACTTTTGTACAAAGTCTCCCTCTGGTAACATTCAAATTGAGAATTTAAACAAAAAATAACGAGACGGAAACAGTTCAATGCCTAAAATAGTTTTATAAGTGGTTTTTATGAAATATTATGGGTTAGTCTATGGTAATACCATGGTAATATTAGTAATAAATACTACAAGTGCACTAATTCGCTTGTACACTCGCAAAAAGCCCCTTGTATTATCGACTGCATACATCGTGTAGTGCATAATTTTAGTTCAGTACACAGCAACATATATGTATCAACCCTCGAGGCCCCAGTCCTTGGGGAGTCAGCCCTCCACGCCTACAGGACCGAAGATTCCCATCCATGGTCTATTATTATTATTTATGCCATCGGAGGCGTGGAGCGATGCAATTTGTGAAAATTTTTACGAGCTCCCTTTAGTTTTATAGATGTTGTATTCGATTCTAGTATGATTGGTATGAATTTGAAGGGATGTTTGCATATTTTTATTGGTTTAAAATGTAGTTTTGGCCGTTTGAAATTGATCGGGGCGTTCGAATGGCTACTTTGGTTGATATATCCAACACGGAGTATAGTCGATTAAGTTTATATATATCAGTGTGTCTGATTATCGCTTATAGAACAGTTAGGGGGAAAGGGATGGGTAGTAATGTAGATTAAGAATCCCTTTGCTAGTAATATACCTAACCAGGTTGATCTGGGGGAAGGGATTGTTAGAACTGTGAACTACCAGTTCCATTGCTAGCAATATGCCCTATCAGGTCGACCTCCACGTGGTTCCCGCTGGAAACCATCGTGCTGAATTCCAGGTGTATTCATCACGATGGGCTAACTGCCTGCCTTTTCATTCTCGCCTATTATTCCTTACTAGTGCCCCGCCAGCGTATACTTTAAGCGCAGGCGTGGTTACCATTCCATTATCATCCATTGAAAAAAACCAGGTCGACCTCCACGCGGTCACCCATGGAAATTATCATGGTTAATTCCTGATGAATTCATCATGATAAGTTAACTGACCTGCTTTCATCCTTATCGATCATCCTTCAGTGATGCTCCGCCAGCATATACCGTTAGCGTAGGCGGGGGGTTTTTTTATGGGTGAAAATGGAATGGTAGCCTCGCCTGCGCTAAGGGGATATGCTGGCGGAGCACCAGTGAAAGGTGATAGATGAGAATGAAAACAGGCCAGTTAGCCCGTCATGATGAATTCATCAGGAATTAACCATGATAGTTTCCATGGGGAACCGCGAGGAGGTCGACCTGGTTGGGTGTATTGCTAGCAATGGGACTCTTAGTCTCCATTACTAACAATCCCCTTCCCCCCGCATAGGCGGGGTTGGCAATTCCATTCTTACCCATCAAAAAAGAAGCATAGAACAGTTACGTAATGCAAATATATGGAATAGTACCAGAATTAGATTTACTTTGCGAATACCATTAAACATTAAGCTTATTAAGTTACTTTCCCGTGTTCATCTCTTTATGTTTCTGTGTTTATTACATTCAAATCCATAAAGCCTCCATAATGACTACCGCCGCCCATGATCACCCACAACACTAACGGCATTGCAGGTGTGCTGCCGGCCTTTTAAAAAGGAATATGCTCTTTTCTTGAAGGTTATGTTGTCGTATCGGTTCGGAAATACTGCTGCTAGAAGTTGATTCCAAAGAGTGGTAGTGCGTGGAAGAAAGTGCCTTGAAGAACGCACGGTGGAGGACCGCCACTCGTCCAGATGGTTGGGATGAGATTTTAGTTTATGGCGGGTTGTACGATGGTGAAAATCAGCAGCAGGTATCAATCCGAACAATTCCTCAGAGCACCCCCCATGATAAATTCGATAGAAGATGCACAGAGATGCAACATCCAGAGATGTAAGGCGCCAATCGTCAACAATTCAAGCTGCCCGACTTTGAATGCGGTCTAACGGAAGGAGTTGGTCTTTCTAAAAACACCGTGTTTCCATACCAACATACAGTTCTTTCGCCAACAATATTAGTAAAATTTATAGACAATATATACAATAGTTTCCAATACAAATTAAAATATCCATTGTTATGAAGAATTTTTATTTACTGTACTTGCAACGCTGAGAAACGGCGCGCATTGTATAATAAAAAAAAAAAATACGAGTAAATACGTCAAACAAAAATCAGTTGCTTGCTAACAATAACAAATTCAATTTTGGTGTCATATTTTATCTATTTAACACGTCCATGTACATAATACCCTTACATTATATACCTTACATGGTACTGCTCATGTCTATACGCGACGGTTACCACTTTCCATCAGGTGGGCCGTCAGCTTGTTTGCCATTCTAAGTTGTATAAAAAAAAAATAACAAAACAATAACAAATAACATAACATAAAAAACAGAGTTTGAAAAAAGAACATTCTGAAAGTAAGTTTGATTCTAACTAGATATAGGTAACAGCAGTGTTCTGATATCTATTTATTGGTTGTTTATTTGGACATGGAAGGCAGAAAAAAAATTATCACTTATTCCGATATCGCTCATACCGCTCAGATATCTATTTTCATTTCGATCGGGCTCTTTAATACGGTATTATATATTGGATGACCGACATTTAATATATCTGTTATTGGGTCAATGTATCGATACTATAACTATAATATATAGATTATTTTATATTATTCCCTATTTCTAACTAATACTTTGAAATATGCGACAAATGTTTTATTTGAAATTTTTAGTAAAAATACGTTTATTATTTTTATAATTATTTCACTGTTAACTGTCCTCGGCTGAACATAAAGCCTTCCCCATAAGGAAGGCTTTGCCAGTAGTTGGCACGCTTGACAGGTTGGCAATCGCAGTTACCAGAGGGAAACTTTGTACAAAAGTCGTTTGCTTGGGTACCTCTGTCCCATTCGTATTTCAACCGTGAAGCAGTTGTGTTTGCATGGCTGCGTTTCAGTTCGAAGGGTGGGATATGGCGTGAATTTACAGGGTACAGAGGAATAACACCTGAGTCCTCAGGAATGGCAACGCATGGGGGGTATCATGGGCGAAACAGGCGACGGTTACCACTTTCCATCAGGTGGGCCGCCAGCTTGTTTGCCATTCTAAGTTGTATAGAAAAAAAAAGGTAGGCTTTTAGAGATGTTTTAAGAGGGACGCTGCTGCCCATCCCTTGCCCTCCCTTAGTCGACTCTTACGACACCCACGGTAAAGAAAAGGCCTATTCTATGCCGGGACCATACGGCGGAACATATGCTTATTGTCTCTAAATTTTTTTTTCTATTCCTTAAACAACGTCTGTTGAAATATTATGACTATTACAAATAGACACAAATGTACCTGATGCGGCCTGGCGTTGTGAGGAGGCGGCCCACCAACTCCATGGTGATACACCATGTCGTGTTTGAGCTGCGGCAGCGGCGGGCCTGGCTGGGGACCTGACTGGTGTTTGCTGATGTCCACTGCTGCCAACGCTTCTGCCCTACTGAGGAGCCCATCGTTGAGTCCGCTGAATAAATCACCCTGATAGAAAAAAAAAAACAATAATTCTTATTTATGTCATAAATTCCTATTTCATTTTTTTTTTACTCTCTGGACTTTTTTTTATCTATAAAATTAATACTGACTGATTACAAAGGTTAAATCATTTCAAGAAGATTTCATTGCGATTTTAAAAATCGAATTTCCAAATTAAATCAATATTTGTATTTAGAACTACAGATTATTTAAATTACATTTACATGCATCATTAAATTTAGCACTGAAAAAGAACTTGAAAAACTTTCCATCAAACTAAAACCTACACTTACCTATCAAAGTGTTATGTTTTATTTAAGTATTATTACATATATACATGAAATATACTAAAAATAAATGCCAAATTATAATTCAATAAAATCAAATTAAATCATAGATAAAAAAAAATAATAGCCTACTTATATACCAATAAAGATATATTAAAGTATTAAATTCTTATAAAAAACGAAAGTCCTTTATAATCTTATATATTCTAGAAGAAATTGTGACCATAAACAATTGAACATAGAATACTTTTTAAAATTTAAGATGATTGTCAATTCATGCCCAATACTTGTTTCAGTAAAACCTACCTATTCTTTTTACATCGATAGTATATATTCGAACAATTCGTCTACCTACAAAACGCCCGCAATATCCTTAAAAACTACCATCTGAACACTAACCCAATTAACGGTAAACAAGAAACAATTTAATGCTTCGTCCCTTATTTTATTTTCAAAATAAATAGTCACGTCAGAAATTAACGTCGAAAAGAACTTAATGCGACCCACTAATACGTAAGGCGCGACACAAGTTTATAAAATAGTCATGCACGCTCAACCGATGGCCGCGGACAGGGGTTTTTCGCCGATTACTTTAAATTATTTATGAGTGACTCTGACCCCGGTTACCTCAGTCTCGACAGATGTTCGTTTCGCGACTCGACTGCCAAATAGGCAGGTTTACAGCAGACCACTTTTAAAGTGATAGTTTCTCTTTTCGATTTACCGGTGGCAAACACATTTGTTGGTTTTATTCCTCAGTCCCCTATAAGAGGAGAGGTTTGCATCGGAATTGATTTGTTACGAAGGTGTTTTAGTAAGGTGTATAGTTTATTACTGAGTTCGGTAGGCTCGCCGACACGATTCGACGTGGGATTGTTCATAAAAAACGTATAGAATAGCAATATAAAAAAAAAACAATTTACTACGAGTGCAAGTTTGATGATACAATATGAAAAACAAACAAGTGTTTCAATGTATACGCACAAAAATCTATTAAAATAGCCATGTTTGTCTCGCGTGCGATCGAGCTTTTACATGAATGCCGACGCATCACATATTTTTGATACCACTATTTAATTACGGCCGAACAAAACCCATTTACTATAAATTCATTAGCTGTCGTATCATCAAAATCTAATTTACAACTCGAGTCCCAGTTAGTGAACGATCAAAACAGAGGAGCGAGAAACCCACTCGGAACACAATACAATTTGACGTGAAGTGTGAAGTACTGTCAATCTCCTAATCCCCAGTTGGCTAAAAAATGAGTTGCAATCAAGCGTGGGAACAGAGGCTTGTCCCTACACCCCGGTCATTAGCATCAAGTTACGCGATCCCCGTCTCATTGTAATTGTTACAAGTGGCGGCGCGGCGCGGCGGGCCGCGTTAATGTGATGCGAAATAATTTGTTGCGAACCCCGAGTTCAGAGTGTCTGGATATTGAATAAATTAAAATAATGCTTCAAAGATTAATGTCCGATATGAATATTCATATGTGTATTAATTTATTTATGAACGTTGTTAATACAGCTCAAAACAGATGTTTTCAACTAGTGGAAGTCTCATTGGAAATTACCACGCAAAATACGTACTATTTTGACGTTCCCTAACATTTTTTTCTTAATTATTATTAACATTAGTTTTTTTTTTTCTTTAACATTGTTTTTTTTTTTTTAATCTTTACTAATATAAATGTAAAAGAAAGTTTGTTTATTTCCTTAATAGCTTTACCAATCACTATGTAATTCAGTATACACGTATGTATATGAAATAGGGAAGGATATAGGATACATATACCGGTCACGCGGACGAAGTCACAAGTAAAAGCTAGCAATAAATGATGAATTCCTTTTTATTTATTTTACCTTTTCTTTCTTTCATTACAAATATATGCCTGTTAATTTTACGTATACGTTAGCTAGCTGCATATACCACATAGTAATGATAATGTTAAACTGACACCCGACGGGTTAAACGTAACGTCGACGTCGTAAAGCTAGAACAATCGTGCTACAATAATCCATTACTATTATTACTCATCAACGTTCTCATTTTAGGGCTAACTGGTGATACTGTGATCCCCAGCGGTGCCTGATATCAAGTGTCACAGACAGACAGAAGGGACCCTTTGCACGCCCGCGAAGCCGATACACTCGACAGCTGAAGTGTTATGTAATTAAATTTATTCGTGTCATAATAATATTAAAAAGTCATATGTCGTGGTTATGTTTTGTAGATTGTAGTAATTTGACAATCCGATAGTATGTTTTGTGTGTGTGTTTTTTTTTTCTTATCAACAGAGATTGCTCATGTGTTGATCTCTAATTTTGTATGAATGAATGATTTATTTTTCTCTTTACAAAAGATAGTAAAAATGTTTTTTTTTATACAACTTAGAATGGCAAACAAGCTGACGGCCCACCTCATGGGAAGTAGTAACCGTCGCCTATAGACATGAGCATAATAGAGTATACTGTTTCGCCCATGATACCGCCCATGCGATGCTATTCCTGAGGACTCGGGTGTTATTCCTCCGTACCCAGTAAATTCACGCCATATCCCACCCTTCAAACCGAAACACAGCCATGCAAACACAACTGCTTCACGGTTGAAACACGAATGGGACAGAGGTACCCAAGCAATCGACTTTTGTACAGTCTCCCTCTGGTAAAACATTATTACATATTATTACATAGCCGTTAGACTACAGTTGAATATTGGAGACCAGTTTTGATAGACACTGGTGCTTGGAGTAAGTTTTACAAAAATAAAATTGCTTCATCGTCATGAAATTTGGTTTATTTATATTGAAATCGTATTTTGTTATTTTTAAATGATTAATAATATAATCAGTTATGTAAAACAAACAAACATTTAGCACTTATAAAATATTTACTCGATTTATGCAAAATTAGCTTCGTTCACATTTAATATAGCACTCACGCCCTCTATCGTGTAATAGAGTAAATACATTTTATTAATTAGCAATACACGACTTTGAAAAAATCACAATTATAGATTTTTTTTTTATTTTAACAAACTTTTCAGAACTGGCGTGCTTGTACGGGATGAATTATATAAGTGTATGTAACAAGAAATATAGGCGTTTATCTCTGTCTACCGCGTGAGAGTGCTGTCGTGAAGATAGTTAATCGATACGAGAGGTCCCCTGATGCAGCGTGACGTATATCAAGTGTCACAAAGACGTAAGAGCGGCTCTCTTTGCGCCCGATTAGTAAGCCCCGGTACAGTCGACGTCAAAAGTGTTAATACATTATTTAAATTTAATTTAACCCCTACATCGTGCATTTCATTGAATTATAAATATGGCTGCTGTTTAAATTTAAAATAGTATACAAATTCTAATCTGAATAATAATTTGTACGGTTTCTTCACAAAAGCTATTTTAGCTATTTTGAAGTGTTCTGTTTTTTCTTTTGCGCAAAACTTTCGATATCAAAATAAAATGACAAACAACTGTCAAAATAGGTTTATAAGTTTTAATTTTTCCTAAAAAATTTAAAAAAAAAACTATTTTACCGATTACCAAAGGGGTCGTGAAGAAAAGAAACAAAAATAATTAAAAAAAAAACAACAACAACAATATACGTAGTCGATTTATAAATATTAGAGTTAGATATTTGCGACTTTGCGACTGTACCTTTATCTGGGATTAAGCAATGTACGCTTAGATTTTGTGATCACATAGTTGAAGGGTTAATGTTCTGTTCTCCAGACAGACAGACAAGTGAATAAGAAATCCTTTCTGATTATGAAATGATTAACAACTTCAGAACTATTAAGTTTGATTTGTAATTATTATAATTATATATATATATATATATATATATATATATATATATATATATATACCAGAGAGAGACCTTGTACAAAAGTCGCCTCTGTCCCATTCGTGTTTCTACACGAAGCAGTTGTGTGGGATATGGCGTGATTTTACTGGGTACAGAGGAATAACACCTGAGTCCTCAGGAATGGCAACGCGTGGGGGGGGGGGGGGTATCATGGGCGAAACAGTATACTCTGCTATGTCCATGGTACTGCTCATGTCTATAGGCGACGGTTACCACTTTCCATCAGGTGGACCGTCAGCTTGTTTGCCATTCTAAGTTGTATAAAAAAAAAAATAGAATTCGAAATGTGTTGAATTGGTGTGTTATTGAATGTCTATGGAATCTAAACACGAATTTTGCTTTATATAATATAATATATCAGATTATAACTCGTCCTCTCACATAGTTTTTTTTTTAAATCCACTTATAAATAATAAAAAAAAAAACTCCAGTCACGAACCCGCATACCTTGCATGGTGACTTATGAGCACAAACTCTCCCATGAAAAGGACCAATAATATATCTATCTATCTATCCATTTAAGAGCTGCGCTCTTGTCGGTGGAGCTCTTGCCACTCACTACGATTTTCAGCGAGCCTCTTCACCTTTTGATACGACACGACACCAACTGCTTCCTTGATCTGCCTGATGTAACTATGTCTCGGTCTCCCTCTTACCCTCCTTCCTTCTATCTTACCTTCTATTATAATGTTCATAAGTTCGTCGTGTCGTATCAAGTGTCCTAACATTTTTCCCCTTCTCTCCTCAATAGTTCTAATAATTTGTCTTTTTTCCTTAACCCTAAGCAAGACCTCCTCATTGCTAATTCGATCCCTCCAGCTATATAATGATGTATGGCCATTACAAA